CAAAATTGTGTCAGTAAATCAGATATCTACTGGTGTTTAGTTCAACTTGTTGACCACAACAAACTTTGACAGACTATTTACATATTCAACCCCTGACATATCAGTCACAAGCTTGTTTTTTAACCATTAGGCCATTGTTAAAGACACCATTGTTTCACCTGCCCTTGAATGTCGATGCTAAAAAATGGCGCTGGGTTGTCTGTTGGGAGAGGAATGATAAAGCACCAAGATAATGCTGCTCAGCAGATTTCCTTGTCTTGGTTTCCCAAACAACATCTATAATGTCTGTCCAAGAGCCTTCAATGAATTAAAGATTAAGGGGCAATAAGTGAGATCCTTACTGCTCCATAGCACAAAATGAATACAATACATCTTCAAGGATTTGATAGAGCAGTTGATCAATAACAGTGACTCCATAAAATAATCATCCCCAAACACACACACACACACACACACACACACACACACTGACTTGCACTTTTCACCTACTCAGTGAGAACAGTTCTATGAGGGGACCATTATATACTCAAGCCAACAAAGCCAATAACACAGCAGCATTATAATCGCAGTGTAATGCATTGTGATAACCTCATCATAAGCCACTAATTAGTTAGCTCACCCATCTCTGCTGTGAAATTTTACTTTATTAGTTCTGTTGATTGAAGGCCACTGGAATCATAAACGCTGCAGCCAATCTGTGCTTGCAGAAAAAGGTAAATAAAGGTAATAGATTACTTAATACATACCAAACCTGCATTAACTGATTATATCGATATTGGCCTATATTGCAGATACATCAGTATGGTATAGAGTATATGTCTATATATATGTATAGATTATATGCACTGATATGAAAACTGTTTTCATGGTATTTAATGCAAAAATGATTGTAGTTGTCAAAGTACTGATGTTTAGCTATATATTTTATTTTTATGTATTCTTTATTTTCTCAGTTCATCTCTAGAATTGGTTTCTTAGAATTGATAGTGTATATGTTATAACATTATAACAGCTTTAATTTAGCCCTATGACAGGTCTTTGTGGCTAACTGTATTGATCAACGCTTTAACTCACTCTGAAAGCATCCTGCTAAAGACACATGTACTCATGGCAATGCATGCTGAATTAAAACATCTACACCAAACATCTTCTGCTACGTGAAATTTGTAAAACACAAGGAATCAAAGTTAGTTGATTAGTAACTAATGGCCTTTCAGAAAGTCAAATCCAGCCTTTACTCCTTTCTCAACTTGTTCTCTGTCACACAGAAGGCCTCTTGGATGAACAAAATGTACCACCAGCTTGTTGTATAACTGTGTGTGTGGGTGGTCCCTTGGGATGTGCATTTGGGCTCAGACCTAACTGACCCCTTATGTTGTTTATCAGTCCCTAATTCATCCCAGTGGCATCTGGGCATCACTGCAGTCTCTGGTGTCTGTGAAACTTGGAGTGGTAGGGTGTCTAGTCAGATATGTTGGGGTGGGATGTGTGCTTAAGTGTGTGTGTGTGTGTGTGTGTGTGTGTGTGTGTGAAGGGATGTGGGGGTTGCACCAAAAAAGAGGCCTATCATGGTTTCCACCCTCCCCTAGCAGAGCATCCATCTGGACGCAAGTAGGCTCATTGTTTTGACACTCACAGCGTGGTGCTGTCTGGAGAGGAGAGGAGAAACCCCTCTTCACCTCAGTTGTGCTGAACATGATGCAATGGGATGCATCTGTGTGTAATGTTTCAGTGTGTGTATCTGTGTTGATTTGTATTCAAGTGTGAGAGCTCATTATTTGAAAGACATCTACGATGGCCCAGAGAGCTCAATGCACGGCAACTTGACAACACATAAACAATCAAGAAAATACAACCAAATACAGAAGCTGCAAGTTGCACAGAACACGAAAGGAAATAAATAACAACAGGAGTTTCTGTTAGGGCACTAAATATGGCTTTGTAAATAAATATCACTTTTTAGTTTTTTTGTCCTCTAGAAACTTTTTTGTAACTCATATCCTTTGCGAGTTGCAGCATTTTTTTCTGTTTAATTGTTGTCTGATTTTTTATTTATTAGCTTGTGTTTTTGTCTATTTACACGTGTTGCAATGCACTGAGCTCTCAGGGCCACCGTAGTAATCAAACTTATTCTTACGTGTTTTGCTGAATTAATAGAACTTATAGTACACGATAACATTTATTTATTAATTACTCTCCAACATTGTACTAATGAATTCATTTTCCATCTGTCTTGTATTGCTCTTTTCTGTTATATGGGAAGAGTAGAACATGATGAGAGATGAAGCTTTATTGATCCCAAGCTTAATTTCCTTAAGGGGATCAATAGTTTCATCTCTTATATAGTTATTTGTCTTTATATATACGAGAGTTAAAGAACAAAGAACAAACCTGTCAAATTACCTCAGAATTAGCACTTCACTTTATCTATAAGACAAGCGAATATACATACACTACACTGAACTTTAACCAGTAACAGCCTTCATCTTTCCACCATCATGAGACACACAACGTCAGAGGATCACTCATACACTTTTATTGTTCATATCAGGAAAGTAAAGTGCTGTATACTGACATCACATTCACTGACGCCAGGACAGGATTACAGTGTTGTAAATACTATATATGGAAGCTACACCTAGCAATATGTATAACACAAATCATCCTAGATAAAGAAAAAGGGGAAGAATAAAATAGGGCCAGTCCAGTTTCTCTCATCTCATTCTCTCCTTTCACTAACACACTCTCTCATGTGTCTCTTATCGGGCTTCAGGGGAGACAAAGATTGACAGAATTTGATCAGCATTTGTGTTAACCTGCTTATCATACCACGGGAATGTCAGAAAGGTTTCCTTTCATTAAAATGACATTCAAATAACTTTTCTGCAACTATTCAGGCATTAGATAAATGATCAAACTCAATTTGCCGGTGTGTAAGTAACCTAAGAAATATAATTTTTGACAGTAGTGGTGGAAGCTGTGTTAGATATTCTATGTTTTCCCCAGAAGAGTTAAAGTCACTGATAGAAATCCACCAAAGACTTAAAGAGTGAAAATAGGCCAAAGTGATAAAAGGCTAATCTAAAAAGAGACATCATAAGAAGACATGGACAGTCCACAATGGACATCTCAACCAATAACATCTGCAGCAGCTGAGCATCATAAACACAAACATGGGCAAAACATATTATTTTGGGGTCACTGCAGAAATACATGTTTGGGGGTGTAGAAATAAAAACTCTAGTTCCACTTCAGAATGTAAATATTCAGTCAATTGGCAGATACTGAAGGACCAGGAAGATACACCTTACAGGGGAGCACACTATCACAATATATGTTTGCATATTTTGTTTTGCATCTGAGGATATAAATGCAGTCAAGGCACATAGGCTGCTCATATGCACACAAAGTCTGCCAGTTGCCTGAATACTCTACTAGACAGTCCGTGCTCACTGTGCAACACAGACGCCATGCTGTGTCTATCTGTGACAGATTTGCACAACAACCTAAGACAGATGTCCCAGTTGTGGCTGGAAAGATGCATTTGAGTTGGATTTTAAGAATAAAACAGACTGTTCTGGTGATCTCTAGACACATCAAAGAGACCCCAAACAAAAAGTCACCCTTACTCATACAAAAACTAGAGCAACATAACCATTGGTTAGAGCAGTGGTTTCCAACCTATTTGTTTTACTTTTGACCCCTTAAAGAGGACATCCACTGATTTCACACATCAAAAAGTCTGTTCGCAGGTCTCGGAGAGTACTACTGCATATGTGAAAACGCTGTGTAACGCCTTTTGTGGCTGCGTGAAATCTGATAAATTGCCTCAAATGATGTCACTTGAGTCTGTGTTGGGGTTAAGGACTACAAATTTGAAGATGAAAATAATCTGTGGGTGCAGATTTAGCTTACCAGACCTCTGTAGCCCTAACCCCAATGTCTGATGTAGGCTACATTAGTAGCTACTAGCAGCAACGCATCTGTTCTCCGACTGAACAGCTGAAAGTCGAATTGCATTGTGGGTAAAGGAGGCGTGCATGGAATAAAAAAGCTCAATTTTGATACTCAGATAGAAGACTGTCCATCATGAGTCAGACAGTGTTATAGGACTGCAATGCTAAATCAATGGAGTACTAACATAAAGCGCATGTGACCCTTCATCACAGGATGCACGTGTATGAGCAGTGAGCAATATGGTTTTGTCAGATTGTTTTATGTGAATATTTTTTATACACTTAAAGAACAAAAAAAAATACAGTTCACAAGAAAGAACCAAGGATTAGAGAAAAATCTGAAAAATCTTTCTTATTTC